TAAGAGCAGCCTTGTGAGCAGCAGAGGTCACCATTGACTGGGCACACTCACTGGTTTTCCACATCATGTTACTTCATTTCCTCTTATGAGTTTCTACTTGAAAGGTATTTATTTAGCTCCCTGCTTCCTCTGTAGCCTCCATGACACACCTGTGCTTCACATCTGCTGCCTTCAGACCCAAACAGGGAACCTGCACTGTGACCGGGCTCTATCAGGGTCTCCTGGCTCTGCCGTGGGAGCTGCAGCATCCCCACCACAGCAGGCATTGAAAAGTCTTTCAGAGAAGGAAAGGCCACTTTTTGGCTTCCCCTGGGTTAATGGATGATTAATGGAAAAATACTTGCCAGGCATGTGTGTATTAGGTTGGATATTAGGAAAAAATTGTTCTCAGAAAGAGTGATGAGGCAGTGGCACAGGCTGCCCAGGGAGGTGGTGGAGTCACTGTCCATAGAAGTGTTCAAGAACCGTGTAGATGTGGCACTTCGGGCCGTGGTGTGAGCATGGTGGGGGTGGGCTGACGCTTGGACTGAGTGACCTTAGTGGTCTATTGTCAACCTTATTGATTCTGTGATTCTATTTGGCTTGTTAGTCTTTATTTTAAATTGTTAGTGACACTTAGAATTGCCATACATCCATGGCAGAATCTGACTTTTCTGTAACTTTTGATTGAGACACTTAGAATGCAGAGAATGTTTTGAAGCTCAAGGACTTTTTTTTTTTTTTTTTTTTGTCAACATGCATGTTCCTTCTGCTGGCCAAAAAGTGATTGATTGATTGATTGATTGATTGATTTTTTCAATAGTTGAAAATTTTGCATTGGAAAAAGAACTCCCAGTTCTCAAACCTAAGATCATACCTTTTTAATATGGTAGTATGTGATACAGTGTTTGCAATGAATTAAGGATCAGTAAATTGCTGTATGTTCTACATAAGCTGCTTGAAAGTTTACCCTTTTAATGACAGCACAAAAATTCCAGAACAGATTTTATATCCTTTTTTTTTTTTTTTTTAGCACAGCAGACTTCCCTAATGACATATATGAGAGCAAATAAAATAGTTCTGTTGTTATTAGCTTATCAAAAATTGTCAAATGTCTTTGATAGATTTCTGATAGGTCTGTCTTGTTCTCAGATTAGCGTATTAGGGCACATGACAATTTCTTTATGAAGGGCAGTGTTACAGACACAAGTAAGCACTACCAAAGTGCCACTTCAGCCCAAATTGTAACAATAATAGAAAAAAAAAAAAAAAAAATGTTGTTAAAGAAATTGTTTCTGTTGTTACTGACAAACCCAGAGCTGCAGCAGGGCCAGTGCTGGTTCCTGGGGAGCCATCTGTGTTGCTGCAGACAGAGCTCAGCGGGATGTGAGCAGCGTGGATTGTGGTTGGGAGCTGTGGAATAAAGCAAAATCCCTTTCTTTGCTGTGGAAGGGTGTGATCAAAGTAGCTCTGTTTCTTTCTTTCTGTATCTTTCTCAGATGTATTTGAATTATTTTTTTCTCTAATACTCCTCTGGCGATCTAAATGTAAAAAGCTGTTCATCTGTCAGCTTGCAAGTTTTTGTCTCACAGTACTTTCTGCCCTGGAAGATCTATATCCCTCTAGGAAAACATGCTCTTAATGGAAAAAATGTAGCATGAATGTGGCTTAGGATAACAGAATAACAGTGCCTAGAATAACATAATATCACTTTAGTGTTTTGTGCCCAGAAAAAGCAGGAATTGGTGCAAGTCAGCTAGCAGCCAAAGAGCAGCTTTGTGTAGGTCTGTGTAATGTGATGAGTAACTCACCTTCAGCCGTTCTTGCTTTTGCACACACACCCCAGCCCCCTTGGTAAAAATGGTAATTTCACGTATCATCACATATCAATGGTAATTCCACGTATCACCCGGTGAAATCTCCTCTGAGGGGATGGATGGATGCTGGTGATTTGTTTCACAAATTTAGAATACATTAAAACAGGAAAGGAAAGCAGGTGCTGTGAATAAATTGGAACCATCCAGCAGCTGTAATACAGATCAGATGTGGGTAAATAGCGCTGCTTTTTGCAATGGCAGTAGTAAAAGGATATTGAAATGGGGCAGCCTTTTGACCACAGGGCAAGCTTGGTGCTTTTGATGTTGGGAACATGAAGAGTGTGCCATTATGTGGTGGAAAACTGGAGATTCACGTGAAAATGTACTTGGCCTTTATCTTAAACCTTTATTACGTCGAGGTCCTTGTGCATTTCTTTCACAAGTGAAACCTGAAGGGAAGTGCTGTTAAGTAGTTTAGATTGGTGTTGTCCCAATTGTCCTGCAGCTTCAGCTCTTGACACTGCAAGGGAATATTAAACATTTATTTTTGATTAAGTAAAAACTATTCACTTGTTAAAGCTGCAGCATTTTTCCTTTGAATGTACATTGTTTTTTATTGTATGAGTGTTTTATTTGTCCATATTAACCAAATACAACTTTCAGAAGGAGAAGGTGGAACCTGTTAGATTTTTGTATTGGATATCAATCTTTTTTTTTAATCTCAGAAATATTACTTCCTGACACACCGTATTCATTATTCTTGCAATGAAACAATAAATGTCCTTGCTGTGAATTATAAGTTCATTGCCAGATTCTGTAGGTGCTATTATAGAAACTGGAGAGTATGTATCCCTGAAATGTCTCTGATAATGCCTATAATAAAAATACAATGAATCTTAAAAAACTGTCATTTTTAATTATCATAGAATCGCAGAATGCCTTGGGTTGGAAAGGACTCTGAAGCCCACCCCACCCCCTGCTATGGGCAGGGCTGCCCTCCACCAGCTCAGGCTGCCTGGGGCTCCATCCAACCTGGCCTTGAGTCCCTCCAGGGATGGGGCACCCACAGCCCCAAACTGTCTCACTTTGAGGGCTGGAGCACCTTTCCTATGAAGAAAGGTTGAGGGAACTGGGCCTGTTTAGCTTAGAGAAGAGAAGGCTCTGGGGAGTCCTCATTGTGGCCTTCCAGTATTTGAAGGGGGCATATAAACAGAAGGGGGAATGGCTGTTTATGAGGATGGATAGTGATAGGACAAGGGGGAATGGTTTTAAACTGAGACGGGAGGTTTAGGTTAGATATTAGGAGGAAGATTTTCACACAGAGGGTGGTGACACACTGGAACAGGTTGCCCAAGGAGGTTGTGGATGCCCCATCCCTGGAGGCATTCAAGGCCAGGCTGGATGTGGCTCTGGGCAGCCTGGTCTGGTGTTTGGCAACCCTGCACATAGCAGCGGGTTGAAACTAGATGATCATTGTGGTCCTTTTCAACCCAGGCCATTCTGTGATTCACCATTCTCTGAGTGAAGAATTTCTTCCTAACGTGATGTAAATGTACTTTCTTCCAGTTAAAAACTATTGCTGCTTGTCCTATCTCTGCAGGCTCTGATGAAAAGGTTTTTTGCCATCTTTCTTATAAACATCCTTAATGTATTGAAAAGCAACAATAAAGACTCTTGTGTTTAAAAAACAACATGAAAGAACTATTGAGATCACAGAAGTAGCGCATTAACTGTGCTACCAGTAAATTTCTCAATACTGTTTGTTGCAGTGACTCACAAGGATTAATTTAAACTCAGAGCCTTGAATTTAAAAATTATTGCTTGGATGTAAATCTTATAATACGTATGCAAGGCAAACCCTTTAAAGTGTGCTTGAGTACACTGTGGGGAGCAGGAGAGGTGGGTTGCTTGTATCCCAGGTGGCAGTTTTTATGCTGTTTTCTGTGATAGTTCTTCACCATGTAATCTAATTTCAGCCCATGGTATGTCCACAAAACCTGATTTACATACGGGTAAGACGGAGGAAATGAGATTCAACTTTTAACACGCTTTTGGACCCAGATGTGAAACTAATGAAGTTAGGACTTCAGTTCTGGGAAGAGCTTTTCTGCATGGAGGGTGTCAGAAGCCAATGATGCCTCTGTACTCCATACCACACACTGCCCTGGGACTGCCCAGGGCACTCACTGCCACAGGGGTTGCTCTGTGCATCTCTCATGCTGCTGAGCAGTTCTGGCTCTCAGAGGGTCTGATGAGCATTAAAATGATCTCTGCCCCATTTCATTTACTCAATAAAGTATGCATCTGATTATTTGTTGGTTTACCAAGCCCACTGCATTGTAGAAGCACATGTGGAAGAAACATGAGTAAGACAACTTTTACAAAGATGTGAATCATTTGTCTTTGCTACATTGCCTTTTTTTTTTTTTTTCCCCCTTTAAGTCTCATTAGAATCTGCCTGCAGAATAAGGCTCTATTAGGCTAGATAAAGATAGTGGAATTCAATCCCACTGTAGGGAATGTTTATCACTGAGCTGAGTAAAATGGGAAGTGGGATGCAGTTCCTTGGGGTTCAATAGTTATGCCTCATCTGTTGAGAAATGATAAGTAGTTCTGATAGACTGATGAATCAGGAAAATGATAAAATACTTTCTAATAAGCTTTTTTCTCGATGTGGGTTTATACGATAGGCTCATTTCTGAATATCTCAGAAACGTCCTGAATTGCAATCCAAGGTGATTTATGTTTTTATATCATGAGCAAGCTGTGTTTTTACAGCTTTTATTTGTTCATTGCAATCATCGTCTGAAGCAGAATAAATAAAATAATTGTCTCAATTTGATCTACGTTTTCTTTCTTTTGAATATGCCCCAGAGAAAAGTCTGAAAACAATATCTTGAATATTTTATATACCTCATTCTGAAAGCCGATCCATTTGCCCTGCTGTGAATCACACATTAATCCCAGTATGAAAAGGTGTTATTTGCAGCAAGGCCTTATCGAAAGAAATCACTTTTTTCTCCTGCAGCTTTCCAATAAAGTTTAAAAGAATTAAAATGAAAGTGGATTATTTCTAAGGTATTTTGTATGGCCTCAGCAAAACTCTGTGATTCTGAGATGCTGTGTAAGGTATGAGATGAAAAAAACAGTTGTTGATAAAGAAAACACAGTAACCAACTTTGTTTTCTGTTTTCTCACCCACAGGACATTAATGTGTGTATCCTTGAAAACTACCCTGAATGTTCCAATCCCAGGTTATTTTATATCATACCCTATTTCTGTGGGCAGCATCCAAGATGCAGGTAAATAAATACATGAGGTATCCCAGTCTGCTCAGCAATATCCATTGACCATTATTTTGTCAAAAACTGGTGATCGGAGGCAATAGTTATTTGAAGTACAGTAGAAAATTGTAAGCACGATGTGGTGATGCATGTGATAGCTGCATGCGTGAATGTATTTTTTAATAAGAAGGGTAATGTACAAACATAATATTGTCCTTTTTATTTGATTTCACTTTTGAATAATGTATGAAATCTGGATGTAATCATCTGGATTTTTCTCTTCTGAGTTGGTAGTGACCTGACATACTTGTTTTACCTGTGCCTTAACTTAATACCTACTTAATAGCTCTGCTCAGATGCAGATACCAGATCTATGTCATAGGAACTCCAGGTTCCTATGTAATAAATAGGGATCATGCTTAAAATTATGTAAAGTGTAGCCTTCTGCCACTGTAATTGAACTTATTCATGTTTGATGTGTCTATTGATGCCATTCACGTGTTGCTATGTTATTGATGTAGTGTAGTAAACTTTTATGCAATATGTGAACAATTTTAAATACCTTCTTGTTTTGAAATGCTTTTATTTTGTTGATTACAGCAAATTCCTTATTAACCTTATTCATCTTCAAGGTATTGTATTTATTGATTGCCACCATTTCTCCATAATAGGAAGACCTGTGGATATTTCCAAAAATTTATTACAGAAGCCATATTTTCTCTAGGCACTTATAACAAATTCTAATGTGTTCATTCTTTTGTCTTTAAGTATCTTTACAAACAGTGTTTTTCTTTAGGTATTTTCACTTTATTTGCTTACATTTGCATATTTAACTTGAGTTTCTAAGGTAATTGTGTATTTAAACACCCATTCTCCTCCCCTTTTTTTTTAATCTTTATTCCTCTCCCATCTTTAATTTCATACAGGGAACCTGGTGAATGGGCCCTTGAAAGAGCAAAGCTGAACGTTAATGAAAACTTCCTGCTTGTGGGGATTCTGGAGGAGTTGGAGGATGTGCTGCTTTTATTAGAAAGATTCTTACCTCATTATTTCAAGGATGTTCTTAGCATCTACAAAAACCCAGGTAACTTTTTTCCATTCAAAACATAACATTCACACAAATGTTGGCAAAATCTGGAGGATCACTGAAAGGTAAATTTTTCTTTATTATGTAGTCAGTGAAGAGATGTATATTCCTTTTAGAGAGCAGACTTGATTGATGGGGTAGGGTATGTATTCTACATTTATTTTAATGTCATCGAGTGGTTTTCATTCCCAGGCAATCACTTAGTGCTTCAGTAATCTTGCCACATGTCCCAAAGCCTCACAATTATCTCTGGAGTGGCTTTTTCTTTTAATTCTGACATGTTCAGCTCTCAAACAAGTGTCAACTCTCAAAATGTCAGCAATATCTACATAAGGAAACCTGGAAGAAACGTGTTGGGGAGCTGAACACTGGGCGTGCTTAAATAGCAAAATATTTATTTGCCTTCAACCTTGACTGAGTTGCTGTGATTTTAACCAACTATGGTGAAATAATTCTTCACTTAATCAGAAATTAGGTGAAGTACAAATAATAATGTATACCTACAGTACACTGAGTAGAAAGCACAGTCAGAAATAAAGAGTTCAGTGAACTTCAGTAGAGAAATGAAAACAGAAGCACTTAATCAGCATCTTAACTTCCACCCCAGCATCAATCTGAAGGCGTTCTCTTGTTGTGTTCAGTCCATTCCTTCCACTGCTTATTTTGTGTTCTGCCTCTCTAGAGAACAGTTTTGTATCCTATGCTTAAATCAAGAAATAAGGTGCTTCTGTGGAGCTATGCATATCATTTTGGCAGAACTGGTCTGCTGCTTGCATTTGATTGGGCTGTTAATGTGGTATGAACCAAGAAGGGGTAAAAGTTGCTTCTTGTACGGTGACTGTTGCATTCATGTCAATTGAAATGTCTACAGGCACCGAAAGGTATGTTTTGTACTAATTTGTATATTAAAAACATATGCCTCAAACACTGAATTTTGTTTGTAATGCATGAAGCTTATCACTGGCTTTTAATTGAGAGCAGCTGTAATAGTAATCAGTTGTTTTGAAAAAATGGAAGACTTCAGGACTGTCGCCCAGTCCCTCCTTCTGGGATGCATCTTTGAAAGTTTTGTATTAAGCAATGTAGAAATATTAAAGAGAAGGAATGGCATTCTCTTTTCTTTGTGAATTTTAAAATAAGAAGACCTATATTTTTAGCATGTGGAAGTCTTCCTTGCATTTCTTCTGTACAGATGCTAGGCCAGAAGGAGGTAGAGAATCAACAGAAGGATGCTTTCCAGAGTCAGCAGATTTTTCTATGGGAATATATACGGTTTTTCAGCTGTTCTATGCAGTGTAGATTTTCACTTCTCTTCCATTTTGGGAAGCTAAAAACAGCTCGCTGGGGCTTAATTTTTCACTAGGGTGCCATTGAAATTGTGAAATGTGAAATAAGCAGTCTCCCTGAATGAATAAGTGCTGGAGAATCTATTTTCTCTCTGTGCATACTGCAGTATCTCTGGGAGATTTGATCCCACATTTCAGGGCAGCAGTTTCCTCTTCTCTGGGCTTTCATGCATGAGACCAATACTGTATGAAGATTCATCCCTTTCCTTCAGTATTCCTCATGTGGATTAAAGTTGAATTCTTTTTTACCATTCACTGAGTAAGACTGAGAAATAGAATAGAAGCAGCATCTTTGTGTTAACTCTGCTTTTTTCATACATGCAAAGATCTTTATTTTAAATCATTATTATTTTCAGAATATTTCGGAGTTGGTGCAAATGCTTAAAAAGACTTAACAGAATCAGTCAAAAAAAAAAAAAAAAAAAAAAAAAAAAAAGAATCCAAGCACTATGTAAGAAAGGCTACTTAGTTCTTTTCAGTGCACCTTAGACCTGATCTGCAACACCCTCTGCTGTTGCATCATGAAGTGCTGGAGCAATATTGTATCCACCAGCTGCATGGTGACCCCACAAAGCAGCAGATAAATCAGGCTGCTTTGTCTGAGGTACTGTTCTGGCAGTCTTTCTTCTCTTTGTATGGATAAGTTTTCCAGAACTTACTTTTTTATCAGATGAACATGCTCAGAGGAGAAAAAATTCAGTAGAGGACGATGTATAGGAGGTCCTTGCAGTCACTCACAGGCTAGTGACTCTCTGTACTAGAGCCCACTTGTTATAGATGAGACACATTTAAACATTTGGATTTACAAATCTGCTTCAAAAAAGAAAATAGTTGAAGAAAGGCAGTTTCCATCCAATACTGCTTTCGTGGATTATATGCAAAGTAAAGTAAAATAGAAAATTGGTGGTTGCTATCTCACCAATATCATACTCTAAAAAAAATAAAGAAAATTAAAAAATAAAGAAAATTTAAAAGAACTACTGTAGGTAGTAAAATACTGGATGTACTCAAGTCCATAAAACCATGAGTGCTGCACAGGGTGACCTTTGGATACTTCTGTAGTTGCACTTGTAAAGCATTCAAGAGACAGTGTGGGAGTTTGGGGTTAAGTCCCTTCTTTCTTCCGAAGTTCGGACCCTTCTCCTTATTACAGTTGCTTTGGGTGGGCACCAGCTCACTACAGCTCTCATCCATGCAAACTTCCTATTGTCAGGAGCCCTCAGTGTAGACTGGAGATACTACAAATAATAGTACCTAAATATGTTGGAAATACCAAGGCTTTCTTTTTCTCATGTCTATTTTTTTGTTTTAACTAAGCAAACCTTATTAAAATGTCTTTTGTCTCCTTTTTGCCAGCTGCAGAATTTCTCATCTGACAGCAGTTAAGAACATTTATTAAAAATTTCTTGCTCATTGTCCTCCAAGCAAGAAAACAAAGCCCAGAGCCTTTTTACTGTCCAATATGCTTCACAGCTATTGTTCTGAAGTAAAGGATCGGTAAAACTGTGACTCTATTGATCAGATAGGTAGCAGAGTATTGCAGCAAAGAAGTGTAAGTGCAGCTGTCTGCCCGTGTATAATGGCAGAGATAGCTGTTAAATGTAATGTGACTTAAGTGCATTCGTTGGTGACACCTGTGATGTATTCCATTATGTTTTGCATAAGCTGACAAGAGGAGACTGTGAAGGTAGGAATTTTAGTGTCTGAGGACATGAGAAGAATAATTTCCTCCATTGCATTAATAAAATGTTGCCCTGAGGAAATCCAGTTGCTGAATATTTTGACGTGTGTTTTATAACAGTATGCAACACTGTGAAAGCTTTTGTTGTGCTGAAGCTTAGAATGGAATCTTTTAATCTTGTAGCATTCTTCAGTGCTGCAGGCTTCCTACTTCTTTTTCCTTTTCTACTCTCCTTGATATTAGGTATCTTGTTAATGTTGATGTCAAATCAAGCTGTTCTTGTAGTGGTTATCTTGCCCAAAGTAGTAAACATCTTCTAGCTTGAAAGCGACAACAGCTTTTGACAAGACATCAAAAGTAGGGGAGGACAGTGAAATAGATAGATAGATAGGTAACTTTGTTTGTTACGTTTCTTTGCTATCATGCTAAAAGTTGCTCGCTGTTCTGCCTGCCTTTTTTTTTTTCTGCCCGCATTGGAGCAGACAGGGTCCAATTGCATAACCTTGGATTAACTTTACTTCAGAATTTGAAAGTATTTCTTTGGCCTGAAATAGCTACGGAATAACTTTACGTGCAGAATCTCTCCTTACTCTCAGAAGCACAACTGAAGGAAAAATAACTGGTCAGACCTGTTCATTTTTGCAGGTTATACCTCACTTCCATGGCCTAGCTGATAGTCAGAAAGTGGAGAAAGATTGAAAGAAATCTTATGGAAGGAGCCAGTGCTTCTTGTGCAGTATCTCTGAACAGCCATCATCTTATATTCTGCCTTTGTTCAGTACAAAATGAGACTAAATTACGAGAAAAATAGAACAAGCGATCTGCAGCTTCTAAATTTTGCCTACTTCTAATGAACCATATTTGCTGGAGAGGACAGAGCTGGCAATGCCGAGTGGAAAGAAAAGTAGAAATTCTCTCATCTCTTGTGCATAAATGCACAATTTTCTCTCACCTACAAACACTTTGCTCTTGATGTGAGAGGAAGAACAGATGAGATGAGATCAAATTTAAGTTCTCAAATTCCTTGGATCATTTCTTTGCATCTCTTGTTTTCTTAAAACAGAACTTGGGAAAACTTGAAATCTTCAGAGTCTTCTTTTGCCTTTCCCTGTAAAACAGCTTTCTGCTTTCCCTAAAATTATTTAGGGAGCAAGTCTCAAGAACAGTCACGCTGTGTGGAAGTTTTCAGTAGAAAAGGAAAGTTCTGAACTGTGTGTGAAAGTAAAATATGAAATTAGCCTCAGGAAATAGCTAGCTGTATAATGCTTTGGTGGCAGATTCCCATCCAGTATGTGCAAGCAAACAGTTGTGTATCTGGCTTTAAAAGTTTTGTCCAGAAGGTGGTGTAATCTCCCTGCTTTTTTCAGATTTTGAGGGAAGCTGAACATTGTGCCAATGGTAATAGCACATGTGAGTTTACATTCTGTCTGGGTGGTGTTTTCTTCTTTATCTCCCAACATCCTGTTCTGAAAATACAAATAGGAATGTGAACAGGCTATCTATGTCTTCAGTCTCTGAACTTTCAGAATTATCCAGAAGAATGCTTTAAAACAATGAGTATGTGAGAACAGGCAGTTTATACTCTATGCAGAGTGTTTAATTCTGTTATTATTTACTGTATTATGAAACAAATTCCCTTTTCTTTGTGTGCAAGCAAGATAGGAAAGGGAAGGAGTAACAGCACGTATCCCCAGAGGAAGTTTATTTGCCATTTTGTCAATAGCACCTCGGACAGTCTACACAAAAACTGTGCTCCTTGGCTTGTTTTATAAAGCCAAAGGTAGTGTCAAAAGCTGTAAATATTACTTAACTCTTAAGCCATGAAAATGAGTTATAGAGTGAAGGGATAAAAACAAGCTGCCTGATCTTGAGATGCCTTGAAGTTAGTGAATGCAGCAATCAGTGATAAGGACAATCAGTGGAAACACTCTTTCTTTTTCCAGTTCCATATTAGGAAAATATGTTCTTTT